TTTCTTGCTCTTCCAAGACACCAAATTGCCTCCTACTAAAACACAATATCCAGACTAGAACGTCTGTCAGAAGGTGATCCTGCCCAATCAACATCTGAGTATCCAACGATCTGCTCATGGCCTCGATCCTCAAACAATAACCCTTTGCTTGGAGCTGATTTTATATACCGAAGAATGCGGGCAACTGCATCCCAATGACTATCACAGGGAGAATCCATAAACTGACTTACAACGCTCACAAGAAAGGAAATGTCAGGTCTAGTCACTGTGAGATAATTTAATTTACCAACCAACCGCCTATATCTTGCAGGATTGCTTAGCGGCTCCCTTGTCCTGGCAGAAGTTTAGAATTCGGATCCATCGGAGTGTCAATCGGTCTACAACCTGTCATTCCTGTCTCCTCAAGAATGTCTAAGGCATACTTCCGTTGTGATATCACAATATCTGAGCTAGACTAAGCGACCTCAATACCCAGAAAATACTTTAGTTTGCCCAGATCCTTTGTCTGAAAGTGTTGAAAGAGATGTTGGTTCAATTTAGTAATACCATCCCGATCATTGTCGGTAATAACAATATCGTCAACATAGACCACCAGATAAATACAAAGACTCGAAGCAGAACGCCGGTAAAACATAGAGTGATCAGCTTCACTTCGTGTCATGCCAAACTCCTGGATAACTGTGCTAAACTTACCAAACCAGGCTCGAGGAGATTGCTTTAAACCATAAAGTGACCGGCGCAAGTGACATACAAGGCCACGAGACTCCCCCTGAGTAACAAACCCAGGTGGTTGCTCCATATAAACTTTATTCTCAAGGTCACCATGTAAAAAAGCTTTCTTAATGTCCAGCTGATAGAGAGGCCAATGGCGAACATCAGCCATGGATAGAAAAGGGCGAACTGATGCTATCTTAGCCACGAGAGAGAATGTATCACTGTAATCGAGCCCAAATATCTGATTATATCCCTTGGCAACAAGACGGGCCTTAAGACTATCAACCTTGCCATCCGGACCAACCTTGATTGCATACACCCAACGACAACCAACAGTAGATTTGCATGAAGGAAGAGGAACGAGCTCCCAAGTACCACTCGTATGTAAAGAAGACATTTCGTCAATCATAGCCTGTCAACATCCTGGATGAGACAATGCTTCACCTATAAACTTAGGGATGGAAACAGAGGACAAAGAACGATATAAAAGCATAATAGGGTGATGACATATGATGATAACTTAAACCGACATAATGGGGATTAGGATTAAGTGTGGTTCGTATACCTTTCCGAAGTGCAATCGGTGTACTAGGAAGAGACAAGTCCGCAGTAGGAGCAGGGTCAGGTATAGGACGTGAATCAACTGAGCCTGATGCTGGGCGCGGACGACGATGATAAGTCAAGAGTGGTGTTTCTGTGGCTGGGGATCTAGGAGGAGCCATACTAGACTCCCCAACGGTTGGAATGAGTAAGACATCTGTGGCGGAAGGTGAAAGAGGAGCTATAGTAAACACCTCAAAGGTCGGTATATGTAAGACCTCAGATATATCGAAGTGGTCAGAAGAGGTAAAGAAAGGTTTAGACTCAAAAATGTGACGTAAGTTGACATAAGGTACCTACGAAGGTCAGGTGAGTAACAATGATATCCCTTCTAAACACGAGAATAACCAAGGACGATACACTTGAGAGCACAAAGAGCTACTTATCTTTCCCAGGGGCTAAGTTATGAACGAAACAAGTGCTCCCAAAAACACGAGGGGGAAGAGAGTATAAGGGTGACTGGGAAACAATACTGAATACAGAATCTAATTCTGGATGGGAGATGAAGGCATCCGATGAACCAAATAACAAGCTTTGAGAACTGCATCGCCCCAAAAACGCAACGGAACATGAGATTCAGTGAGAAGTGTGTGAGCAGTCTCAATGAGGTGCCTATTCTTTCTCTCTGCAACCCTATTTTGCTGAGGGGTTTAAGGACAAGAGGCCTGATGAATAATTCCTTGAGAAGTCATAAATTGCTGAAATTGAGAGGATAAATATTCTAAGGCATTATCACTACGAAAAGTGCGAGTAGAAACACCAAATTGATTTTTGATTTCAGCACAAAAATTCCGGAATATAGAAAATAACCCATAACGATCTTTCATTAAGAAAAGCCAAGTACATCTTGAATAATCATCAATGAAACTAACAAAATAACGAAATCCCAAGGTTGAACTGACACTACTAGGACCCCATATATCAGAATGAACGAAAGAAAAAACAGACTCCGCATGACTCTCAATACTACGAGGAAAGGAGGCTCGGGTATGTTTCCCGAGCTGACACGACTCACAATCTAATCTAGATAAACTAGACAAACTAGGCACCATCTTCTGAAACTTGGATAAACTTAGATGTCCTAAACGTTTGTGAATTAGGTCTGGAGGATTTGTAACTAGACATGCCTTGGAGGAATTGAGTGAGTTAAGGTAGTAAAGGCCTTCTGATTCAAGCCCTGTTCCAATCGTCTGTCCCGTACTGCGGTCCTGCATAATAATAGAATCATCAATAAAATATATACCACAATGGAGGGCACGAGCCAAACGACTAACAAATGCAAGACTAAAAGGACAACCATGGACATAAAGAACGAAATCTAGAGTGACAGAGGGTAGGGGATTAGCTTGTCCAACTCTATTTGCTTTAGTTTGAGACCCATTGGCTAAAGTACTAGTGGGAAGAGACTGTGAATACACAATATTTGACAAAAGGGATTTATTACATAGATATGATCAGAAGTGCCCGAGTCCACGACCCATGGTCCAAGAGTACTAGATTGGGAAATACAAGCAAAAGAATTACCAGCAACAGAAGTGTCAGTCTGAGCAATAGAGGCTGCTGGTGGAGATGTCTGCTTACTTGCTCGATACTGAAGGAACTCATTATATTCCCCTTCAGATAAAGAAAATCCTTGGTTACCTATAGTCTCGGTCTGAGCAACATAAGTATTTTTGGGTGGACGATCATGTAAAGAATAGCACACGTCACAAGTGTGTCCAAGTTTATGACAATAAGAGCACTTGGGTCTAGATCTTCCAAAACGACCTCTTCCTCGTCTATACTCCATAGTTTGAGATGCCCGATTGTTCACTATCTGGGATGCAAGAACAGACGAGTCAAGTGTCTGTGATGAGATCACTGGGTGACTTGGTGCTGCAGCAAGGCGAAGTAATCGAGAATAATTCATCAACTGTGGGGACAGTCGGACTAGCCAAAATCTGATCGCGTACTGAGTCAAGATCATTAGGAAGTCCAGCAAGAGTAAGAACTAGAAACATCTTTTGTCGCTGCTCTTGTTGCTTTTCAACACTAGCAGAAACTGACATCAACTTCTCAAATTCCTCCATTACTGTTTGTACTTGTCCCAAGTAAGTAGACATATCTAATTCATGTTTCTTTAACTTTGTCATCCGAGATATCACATCATAGAAACGAGATATGTCATTAGTGTATAAAGTGCGAGCCTTTTCCCAAACCAAATAACATGTTTGGAATGGACGAAACAAGGGCATCAACTTGGAATCAATAGATCGCCACAGAATACTGCATAATTGAGCATCGATCTTCTCCCAAAGTGCTTTGGCCTTTTCATCTCCTTCGCTAGACTTCTTGATTAAATGATCTTGAATACCTTGACCTTTACACCCCAACTCGACAGACGAAGCCCAAACTAAGTAGTTTGAACTTCCCATTAAAGGTTCTGAGGTAATCATAACACCGGAACTGCCAGAGCTCGGGTTTTTAGACCCGAAAGCATCAACTCCCAAAGACGTCGTTGGATTGAAGAGAGGTCTATGAAATTATCACCAAATAACAGAAAGAATCAATTGAAAACTCGCTGAAACAGACGAAGGAGACACTGTTTTTGCCGGAAAATTACTATAGCTGCCGGGAAAAATCAGTGTAATCACCGGAAAAAACTCAAAGTGGTCAGAATAAAACGAAAACAATATGGGTGAGGTCGGAATTGGTAGACGACCCAACTGTTATGAAGAAACTTTTTCAAAAAATGGCCGGAAGTGGCTGTAAGCGCCGGCACGTGAGCTCACGCGTGAGCTTCTGGTGGCGCGTGGGGGTGCGTGAGGAGGCTGCTGCCGGAGATTTTTACTGGGGTTTGGTCGCCGGACAGTGGTGACTCTAGTGGTAGTGTTGGATTTTGCACAACACTGACAGAGACAACGCAGACGCAAACAACCTTGAAAAAGTCGTCGGAAAAAGACTTCCGGTGACTGATTTCTCTTCCCGGAATCGCTGGAATTTATGCACATTGTAAATCTCTCACGAGTGATCTGATACCACGTGAAAAGGAGAAACTATGATATTATTCACATATATTGACAATGATACAATGAGCCCTATATATATAATACATTTCCTACTCCTAATACATATGGGATTAGGGTTATTTACTACTATTTAACTACCAAACTAACAAGGGGCTACCAAATGAGTCAACTTCATTCTTTAGAGGTTGGGATATCTATAGTCTAGTTAATGCTTATGGTGCCTTTTCCTAGTTCACAAGTCACTGCATGCTTTATTGGCAAACTTGATTGCTATTCCATCTTGAGTTTAAATAGAGCTTATCTTGTGTTGTTTCGGAATATAGAATATGGTGTACACAAGGGATTGTTTTTCAATGGTCGGAGTTTAATATATGATTGTAATAGCCAATAGCTCACGCCCCAGATAGATCTAACACAGCAAATAAATGCTGTTGGTGTAGCTTTTGGTTTTAGTTCTTTTATAGTGCCTGAATGGGAGTTATGTTCAAAAGTTTTTGCTAGCACATCAACCATATGAGTTTGAATGAATTAATTTGAAGAAGTATTTAATGACTAGAGGTTGCATGCACATTTGAATGTATTTCCTTTTGATTATGAGAATTGTAAACCTCATAACTTTGAAATTTCCGTTCTTAGACCATATTGAACGTTTATGAAATTATATCTGTAAAATCACAGGAATATGCTTCATGAGACATCTAGTTTGCTTGGTAATCGACGAGGCTCATCGCGCAAGTGGAAATTACTCTTATTGTGTAGTAGCTCGCCAGGTTTGTCATTCAGTTTGTTTTTATGTTCTAGCTTTCTGATATGATTCTTAATGTATCTGTCAACATGAGACTATTTTGTAACTTTATGAGTTGCTTTGCCACGTGAATTTAACCTGGTACCTGTTTATAGTTGTTCTCTCCTTTCTGTTGATAATCAGTATATCTAAAAAAATCTATATAACTGTGAAATATGTTCAACATTCTCTCTGTGTGGACTATTTACTATTTAGAGATGCATGCGATACCTATTCTTCGGGAGGTGAGACAAAGAGAAAGGTGATCACCGGCTCCCCTTTTTGATGTTTCACCCTTTCACCGCATGTAAGCTTCTAAAATCTGGACAGTTTATCAACAATTTGGAATTCTGCACCTCCACAAGTAATTATTACAATGATGTGGAGCAGCATGAATCCTTTTTTAATAGAAAGAGGAAATCAGAAAATCTGAAGTCATCGATGTAACTTTTTAGCAACTACAGTAGTTTTATTCATGAATTACACCACCAAGATGGTACCGTCTTAGTAAAAAAAGTATCATGGATTTGATTCCTCAAGTGTGGATGAAATAGAGGAGATGCAGTATGATTCTATGTCGGTTGCGAGAGACATTTTACACCAAGATTTTCGATAGGGTAATCACCCATGTACTCGGAATATAGAAAATCAAGAAGACAAATCTATAGATATTCAAGAGTATGGGACCAAAAAGTTCATCACGCTCCCAAAATGTAAAATAAAATTTTGAAAACATCTATACATCAAACTTGTGAACTACTGTGACAGTTGCTCTATTTGGTCGAATCTGTCATTGTGATAACTGAAAGAAAGGAATTGCGGAAATAATTTAGTTGCTTTTTTGCTTTATGTAGAAGTTGAAACCCATTGTTGGTCTAGTGCCAGCTTTACATACCTAATTCAGCATTCTACCTCAGATTCTTGTTCTGCCTTTTTCTTGCTAAAGTCAAATCCTTGGCCCACTCCTTGGTCCATTTCTAACTGGGCAGGCTTCTCTTAGTTCCAAGTGCAAATGCTTATTTTATTTTTTCAAGCTCCATTTTGATGTACATTTTTAATCCGGTGTCCAAATATAAGGGAAACATTTAGAGGTAGTATTAGATTATCATGCCATTTCCTGTTAAACTTTCTATAAAATATGTCGAATTTCCATATCAATTCCTCAATTTATCTCCATTTGGTTGGTGAAAATTCAACTTTTTTGATTTATTTGTAGTTGATGGCATGTAATGTCCAAGTCAGGATATTAGCATTAACTGCAACACCTGGGTGTAAGTTACTAATTATCTGCTGGACTTTGTTGGAATTTAAATTGGTTTCATGTCTTATGTCACCCTTCTTACTGGGATCTTCCATATGTTAGCTAAACGGCAGGCAGTTCAGAACGTGATCGATAACTTGCAAATATCAACACTTGAATATCGAAATGAAACTGACCCAGATGTGCTCCCATATGTGCATGCTCGAAAGATTGAACAGATAACGGTCTAAATATATCTCCCTTGGGCTCTTTGCTGAACCTTTTTTTCCGTTGTTTATGTTCAAAAATTTTCAAATCATGCTTTCAGGTTCCCATGGGCAAAGATGCTGATGAAGTTGGTGAACTCCTCTTGAAAGTCATATGCCCATTAGTGAATCGGCTTAATGCATATGGGCTACTACTGAATAGAGACTACCGGACAGTATGGCTACTATTACTTGAAAATTCTTTAGATGTTTTCTTTTGACTATGATGTAGTTGTTTGCTACATTTTTGGGGATGTGCTGTTCTGACTAGTCAGTCAGCGAAGTTCAGGTATAGGATAGTTGTTCAATGAAGTCTGTCATTATCCTCTTTCCACGCTTTCTTCCTATTTTTGTTCTGGTTATGTTTTTCTTACGTATTTGCATTTCTCAGTGGATTATAGTGATACAATCTATTGTTGAAGAGATGCTAATGCCTCCATGTGGCTCCTATCCTGCAAGACTTGAAAAAATTGTTTGATGCTAAGGCCCGTATAGTGTACTTTGGCATAGTTAGTAGCTGCAAAAGTAAAATGTCTATTTTATTTTGTTAAAGAGTTGAAAATAAAATTTTAAGTTCTAAATTTGATTTAATGTCATTAGTTAGTGTTAGATATGTAGTCTTGTCCCACATTGAAATAGGAGTAGTATGTTTTTGTATAGTATAGCTATAAATAAGGACCTCTTGTATTGTATTGAGCACACAATATATCAATATATATCATATTTTCGCCCGTTCCTTCTCACATGGTATGAGCTATCGTGAAAGATTTATCGCTGTGCATAAATTCCAGCGATTCCGGGAAGTGAAATCAGTCATCATAACCTTTTTTCCGGCGACTTTCAAAGTTGTTTTGTGTCTACTTTATCTCGGTCAGTGTTGTGCAAAAAATCTAACACTACCACAAGAGTAGTCACTGTCCGACGACCAAACCTCAGTGAAAATCTCCGGCGGTACTGTAGCTGTCCGAAGAAAATTTTCCGGCGATGTTCCGACGTCGCGTGGGCCACCTTCCCCCCATTTTTTGGCGATGACTCTTCAAGACAGATTGTTCCCCTTGCAATTCCTAGCCTACCCATCCAGGTTACACCAAATTTCGACCACTTTTATATTTTTTCGGCGTGAATAGTGATTTCAAAAGTGGACTTCCGGCCATTTTTTGAAAAGGTTCCTGCAGAACAGTTGGGTCGTCTGTTAATTCCGATCCTACCCCTACTGTTTTTATTTTATTCCGATCACTTTGAATTTTTTCCGGTAGCTACAGTAACTTTTCGAACTTTCCTAGAGTTACAGTATTTCTGGAGTGAACAGTGATTTCCGCCGCAGAACAATGTTCTGTTTTCCTGCTGTAAACAGTGTTTTCTCAGCAATTTCTTCAGTTTTCCCAAGAGTTACTAATTTTCACTATTTCAAGTTAACCCTACTACTATTAATTGTAGCGACATGGGAACCGATGCTTCAAATAGTCGGATGGTTTCTTTAGTGGATTATTTTGAGTTTCTTCAGTACAAAGCAGGTAAGCGGACATCTTCTGAGATAGCTTCCGTTGTTCAGACAAGTAATAGCTTGACTTGTGTCTCTCAATCTTCATCCTCTGAGTTTTGGGTCATTGATTCAGGTGCATCAGATCATATTTCTGGTAACAAATCTCTTTTCACTACTATTTCGTATTCTCAATCTCTTCCAAGAGTCACAATGGCCAATGGGTCTCAAACCATGGCAACTGCAATAGGTCAAACAAGCTCAATTCGTTCTTTACCTTTAGATTCAGTTCTTTATGTCCCTAATAGTCCTTTTAATCTCATAGCTGTTAGTCGCCTAGCTAAATCACTTAAATGTGCCGTTTTATTTCTTGATGACCATGTTTTTATACAGGAACGCAGTACAGGGTGGATCATTGGTACCGGGCGTGAATCAAATGGACTTTATTACCTTGTCCTTGCTAAATCACATGGACTCACATCTTGTCTTCCTTCAACAACTTGTCCTCTTACTGATTCACCAAATTTATTACATAAACGGTTGGGACATCCTAGTTTGTCAAAACTTCAGA